AAAATTACTTGCATATACAAAAGTAATAAAACTTAAATAAATGGAACATGAAACCTGTTGAATGTGAATAAACCAAGTTTTTAAGATGATTAGCAGAATAAAAATGGCACATTGGAAATTTTAGTCAGTCGGCAAGGAAATAAAACTCGACCAGGATTCTGGAGCTGGTGCAGTTCTTGGGTCTAAATTGGGTCTGCTGGTCAGCAGCAGTGCTAGGTATGTGAATATCCTCAAAGACCTACTGACAGGAGGAAGGAGGTTTGGATTGCATCTTTAATATGTTAACCAGGCTGTTGGGGAGAGAAGAGGGAAATGAGAAAGTGGAGGAAAATAGTGGCTTCAGGACTCTGAAGAAAAGCAGTCCACTCTGAGAATTGATATTGCAGGTTCATAGATGAAGTTGTTCATAGATGAAGTTGAATAAAAACTGCAGTGTAAATACTTGAGCAAAAGTTTAACTTGACTGTGGGCAGGCAAAAAAAATATGCTGTATGTAATTTCACCTTTGGGTTATGGATCAGAAAATGCTAGAATTGAATGTGTCTGACCTTTGCACAGCTAATGAGTCAAATACGAATAAACCCTTCCAAAATGAAGGGAACTAGCAATCATTATTTTTAAGTCCATTGCTAAAGGCAAAAATAATGAAGATCTGAAATACTAAAACTAAAAATTGTGAAGCGATGTCAATTTGAGAAAATAGAATAAAAGGTATGAGAGTTAAACATACACACCCAAAACCCAATTAAGTGGATGGTGTTTTTCTGTGGTCTTCCAGTAAGCAACTCCTAATCAAGGGAAAAATAAATTTGTTGCATCTGAAGATCATTGCTCAGGTCTATGATTGGGAGAATATTTTAACAGGCTAGGTAGCTTTCAAAGGTTCATTTTTTCAAGGAAGTTTATTGTCACATGAAGTTTTTCTTAGGGTGTTGGTTTTCATTTTTGAATGTTGCATTCCAAACCTCAGGAGGTACAATGGGCTTTGTTTTGCTTATTAAAAATATACATAATTTCCAATTTTAAACATTTTATTTCATATGTTCTGACTCTTAATATGTTTTAACAAATGTAAGTGGCAATGCAACCAACTACCCTGGTATATTTCTTAATGCGTACAATGCCATCATTACACATGATGTCTTAGAGAGTTTTATGGGCAATATATGTAGAGTAGATATTTTCTCAGCAGCACAATATGGCCTGTTTGTGTTACTTAGTTTGCAAGGTCACATGGCCTCTCCAATTATAAACCCTAGACTTGCTTCAAAATCTTTAACAGTAACCCATCAACCTCTCTAGCCAGCCAAGCAACAAGAATCGGGTATTTTATAAGCAGGACAATATTTGCTTTGGGTTTTGTTTTGAAAAGCACGGAAATACAGTGAAAGAAAGAAAATCTGTTCATATATCTGAAGAGCTGCCTTTGCCAGTCTCACACAAGCAAGTACCTTGTCCCTGGCTTTTAAGGTTCTGCTGTTACATATATATATCCTCTTGCTGTATCACAATCTACAATAAATGTGATCTCTGGGAATTGGGGAATGAAGAACTTTATAGTCGGCTGTAAATCATTTTTATTGATGATGTGCAATATGCTATCTGTGTAGTATCTAGATGGAACTGGGTGAGTGTTAGCTATGTCAGGACCTGGATCTAAATTGCTGTCCAAGGCCACTCCAGATTGATCTGTTCCCTGATAATGATTAGAGCTGTGTCTAAGGAAGGAGCTGGACCTTTAAAGGGAAAAGTTATCATCACGGCTTTTATCTTCTTGTTAGGCCTATTGTTGCTATATTCGCAAATTCACCAGTCAAAGGCTATATAAGTGACTACTAGCCACAATAATTATGTTCTACCTCCACTGTTAGGGACACGGGTGGCGCTGTGGGTTAAACCACAAAGCCTAGGATTTGCCGATCAGAAGGTCGGCAGTTCGAATTCCCACGACGGGGTGAGCTCCCGTTGCTCGGTCCCTGCTCCTGCCAACCTAGCAGTTCGAAAGCACGTCAAAGTACAAGTAGATAAATAGGTACTGCTCCAGCGGGAAGGTAAACGGCATTTCCATGTGCTGCTCTGGTTCGCCAGAAGCGGCTTAGTCATGCTGGCCACATGACCCAGAAGCTGTACACCGGCTCCCTCAGCCAATAAAGCGAGATGAGCGCCGCAACCCCAGAGTCGGCCACGACTGGACCTAATGGTCAGGGGTCCCTTTACCTTTACCTTACCTCTACTGTTGAATGTAATTTGCCTTGGAATACCAATGGTTAGAAACCACAAGTGGGGAGAATACACAGATTCTGCTTGCAGGGCTCATAGGCATGTGGTTGGCCACTATGAGAACAGGATGCTGGACTAGACAGGCCGTTTGCCTTACCCATCGGGCCCTTCTTATATCAGCAAGGTACGACCTGGCAGATGGCTTTTTCTTTTTCTATATTTCATTCTCCCCCTTCCTTTCCCCCTATTTTTGTTGCTCATGGTGGAAGTTGGCCAGCTCCAGAGCCCTCATAGTTATAAGTTAGTGGTACATAGTTTGAGGGCACATTGGGGTAAATAAGAGGATTAGAATCCCACAGACCCACTGTCTCCCCAAACATGCCTCAGAACGCACCATTTTAGCTTCCATTACTGGCAGAACAGCAAATAGCTGTAGAGCTTTCCATGGCCTCCCAGTAGGACCTCGGTCTAGTCCCTCAGTTGCATTCCTGACTAGTGCAGGATTTATCCCTGTCGTATTTTATTACAAGGAAGAAACAAATTCATGCCAGCATCACCAACAAACAAGGTTACACCATTACACGAATGTCCCTTATTGTTTTAGGTATTGTTCCATTGTTAACTTTTAAACCCTGATTGATGCTTACTTAGTGAAATCATCTTTGTGGAGGTAAAATGCCTTTGGAATCACAGTAGTCCCTTGAACTTCTGTTAGTAAAGTATTGTTGGGGTATCCCATTCATTTAAAATATTTGTTTTACCGTGACCCTCACACAATCCCAAATCCTGGCCTATTGTATTTTCATTTAACTCCAGTTAATTTCATAGGATTGCTTCATCCTCTTCATCGTCGTGTATTCAGTGATGTGGTACCAGGGGATAAAATCATTCACTGTGTAAGAACCTTATGCTATCATAAATTCAGCAACAGCTGCAGCAGTGACATGTTGGCAGGCTTGGATGAAATAATGAGATGAAACCCATCCAGTTGCATAATTAATATGCTTAGTATTTATTCTTATATTTTATACTAAAACCCTGGCCCTACGAAACAGAATAACAACCTAGAACTAATTATTCTTTCCACATGCACTTCTTATTACAATGAGAAATCATGTCTGCATATCATTAAATATGTGTGTGTTGGTTGGAGTTTACATAATTCTTATCTGAAATTTATGCAATGACTCAGGATTAGGGTGAAGACAGACACAACATTTTAAGTGTGAGGGAGGTTCTTTGTGCATATATTTGTTATCCTACAAATAAGTGCCTCAAAATTCACAGCATTTGTTTTCAGGGCTACTAATGTATGTGCAAGGCTCATCCACCACTCCTATGTTATGGCTGTCTTTGGCCTTGGAACCTAGGAGGAATGTGTCCTCATGATCACCACCATTAAGAGGTCTATGTAATATGGCATTTTTGATGTCCCAGGTTGACCTTGGTTCTGTTTTCAGCAGAACCAACGTAGTTCAGCAGGGTCTTTTCAGCAGAAAAGTACTTGACTATACTGCAAGGGATGAATCTTCATTGGGTTAGATGAACTATGTTTGGTTAGATGAGCATTTGCTCCCCTTACATACCATAGGAATGTGTTTATTTTTGTGTGTGTTGTATTATAACAGAAAACCTAATAGAGACATTATTATATAAAAAGGAAGACACCATTAAGCAATGACATCCCACATAAAACAACCCTTTTTGGGGGGGACCCAGAATTACTATTTGGATAATGTGGCACAGTGAATTAACTTTGCATTGTCCCATTTAAGGACAGTCCAGGATCCAGACTGCCTCTCCCCATTTCCCTTTGCAGTATAAGAAATACTGCTGCAGATTTGTTTTTGGAAGCACTGCATAATAAACCCATTATGTTACCAAAACTGTATGAAGCCTGAATCAGTAAGTCAGCAATGTTCAACACATGCCCAGTGCCAGTATTCAGGCAGGTCGGGCATTGGTTGAGGGGCTCAGAAGGACCTCTCACTTGCCCAGCCTAAGTGAACTGCCACTTACCATCTCCCTGTGGGGTACCTAGGCAGCTGTTTTAGTGGTGGGCAGGTAGTGGTATCACTTTTGAATGGTGCGGAGCTTGGCTCCCATATACGACAGTCATCTGCCATCTCATTATACCCAAAATTCAGTGGCCTTGGAATAAATCTTTGGTGCCACCCCACCGTTCAACAAATTGTATGTTCTCACTGTAAAATGTGCAGAATTTGAGAATGCAGACAAGTGTATATATGTGGAAATGGAGGAAGTAGTGCTGTACAAACCAAATAATGAAGCAAAACTGGAACATCTCCCAAGGTTCAGTTTTCACTAGGAAAATGCTTGGTGGAATACAACGTGAAAATCTTTAGCATTTTTAGGATCTCGTAAGCTGTACAAACTAGAGGTGATTTGTAGTTAAAACTTTTACAATGTTCTGTAAAAATGCTGCCACATAATAATGCATCCTTTTTTTTTGCAGTGATAAAATCATTACTGTTATAGGCATTTAGAGAGTACAGCAGTGAATATCATGAAGCGTATACAAATACATGAACGATGCAGCATATAAAAGATATTGTGACCTCCAGGGGAAAGTGCCTGGCTTTACTGACTTCTTCAATCACTGTCATGACTGTTTCACCTCTAGCTGACTAAAAAATACCAAGGTCATCCAACCCACTTCAAGCAAAAGACCCTCTAGTTCTGTTGAGATTTCCCAGTAGTCATGATCCAGGCTGGTTAGATCTGGGTCAAAAGGCCTACAATGTGAAATCACCTCTACAGCTGCTGGATAGCTCAGCTGTTTGAGCATGGTGCTGATAATGCCAAGGTTGCAGGTTTGATCCAGCTGCATATTCCTGCATTGCAGCAGGTTGCACTAGCTTATCCTCAGGGTCCCTTCCAACTCTGATTCTGTGTATATCCAGCTTCAGCCTAAGGGCCAAGCAAGGCATTCTTCTAATAGTTTTGGAACTTAAAGCCCACTGATGCTTTGCGCTCCCCACCATCAAATCCTGAAGCTGCCTTTGGACAAACGTCACCATAGAAGAGTTAAGAATCTCTTCATCTCTCAGCGACTGCTTATAGAGTATAGCTTCCTCCAAATTTCTGCCAATGACATGCCACGATTGTAAATCAATAAGTGTGATGTGTTTATTCACTGACTTGTGGCTATGATGAGTACTTTGCCATTTGAGAAAACTCACATTCATTTCTACATAAAACAAGACCAGTAATTGTTTTCCCCTCAATCTTAAGCATTTAACTACTCTTCAGAATATTCCAGCATAACAATTGCCTCTTAGTACAGACTGGATTTTGTTTGGCAGTATGGGGATGCCTGCCCAAATATATCTAATTTCAAAAACAGAGTTAAGTGCAGCCTTTCATTGTCAACATCGTGGCAAATAATGAGTTGCCAACTGGAATTCAAGTAGGACAATAAGCATTATGGAACCTATGTGAAGAATCTACATCTGTCAGGCAGAAATATGAATTGCCTGAGCCAACATTTTCCACCCCTTCCCCCTTCCAATTTGAGCCTTGGATGCATACAAAGCAATTTGACAAAGCGTTTGAAAAGATGCACCAAGGAACTAAAATGGAAGGCAATATAAAAGAATTATGAAGCTTCAGGGAATGTATTGCTAACATTTGTGTATTTTAAAGCTTTTATATTTACATATTTGTGTATGCAGCTATGCAGAGGCGGAGCTAGCTGCTCTGGCACTCAGAGTGGCACACATGCTGTGCACCTGGGGCTAGCCGCCCACAGGGGCGCCACCCACAGCGAGCAGTGAGCGTCCCGGGGACACACACACACACACACACACATTTATGGATCTTTATATTTATGGATCTTTAAGAATAAGCATGCTCTGCTGTGTTCTATACCACTGAGTAGAAACGCATCCACAAAAACATCCATGTATTTAACTATACTGGGCACTTGACAATACTGAAGGCATGGCAGCAGAACTGGCTGAATTTTGAAGGCCTCAAGTATATAAGTAGTTCATATTCTTGTTTCTCCATGCCAGTGGACGTAATTGCAATTCTGAGGAAACATGCAGGAAAAAACACCACTGAATTTGTGAACTGTCCATAAAACTGCAAGCTTTACTTGCAGGCTTCTCTCTTTCTCTCTCAGAGCTTGCAGGGCAGCAGCTGAAGAAGGAGCAAAAAGGGGTTTCTTGTGTGTGTGTTTCTTTGTGGCTGATTAGCTGCTCTCCCTGTGCAAAGGTCAGAGAGGGCAGGGTTTCTGTTGAGGCAGGTGATTAGCTGTGGGAGGAGCTTATCAGAGCTTCCAGGGCAGCGGCGCGCGCCTAGCCGCACGCGCAGTTTGATCCATCTTTTAGATTTAGGGGAGCTAGTCTCAAACGTTTGTTGGGGGAGACCTAGGTTTTTTGGGGGGAAGTTATTTCTCCTGTCTTCATGCTTTTTATGATGGAGGACTGCTGTAGCCACCCCCAACGACACGTTCTCAAGATGGAGGGGGAGGGAACAGCTGCAGTCACCTGCGGTTCCTGCGCAATGTTTGCCATCTTGCCAAAGGTTGCAGGCAGCTTTACCTGCAGCAATTGCATGTTGATTGCTCTCTTAGAAGACAAAGTCCAGCAACTGGAGGAACGTGTAGCTACGCTCCAAAGAATTAGAGAGCTGGAGCTCTTCTTGGAAGCAACAGAGCACACCGTCTCCACCAAGGAGGAGACAGGGGACTCCCCTGAGAAGGAGGCTAGTTCACCAACATAGGAGCCAGATATATGGAGAAACATGACTCAAAGAAGTAGGAGGCCCAGGGTTCACTCTGATTGTTTAGAGATACACACTCGCTTTGAGGTCCTCTCCCTAGCATGGAAGACGAAGAGCAGACTCCATTTGAGGATCTCTCCTCATTACAGTCGATCAGGTATATGAAGACGAGCAGCAAAGTCAGTCCTCAGGGAATGTGCAGGCGACCTTGGAGCGGACAGCTCACGGAAGAACCCCGACCAAACCTAAGAGGAGGCGTGTAGTGGTGATAGGGGATTCCCTACTGAGGGGAACAGAAGCAGTGATCTGTGGGCCTGACAAGATGTCTCGGGAAGTGTGCTGTCCCCGGGGCTAAGATCCAAGATGTAACTGAACGACTGCAAGGAATCATAAAACCCACTGACAAATACCCCTTCCTCTTGGTTCATGTGGGAACCAATGACACTGCAAGCAATAGCCTCCAGAAGATCAAAAGAGACTACGAGGCTCTGGGCAGGAAATTGAAGCAATTAAATGCACAAAATGTCATCTCATCTGTCCTCCCAGTTGAACGACGTGGCCCAGGGAGAGAGGGAAAAATAGTGGAAGTGAACAGCTGGCTTCGCAAATGGTGTAAACAGGAATGGTTTGGATTCTTAGATCACGGACTGCAGTTTCTTGAAGATGGACTTCTGGCAAGCGATGGGCTGCATCTCACAACGGTTGGGAGGAATGTTTTTTCCAAAAATCTCAGAAACCTCATCAGGAGGGCTTTAAACTGACTAATGTGGGGGAGGGAGACAGTGCTCCTGAAGGTAGGAGTCTATCAATTGATGAAGATGATCATCCAAATGTCATAGACCAAATGGAGCAAACAGCATGCAGACCTAGTGGTGGGAGGAATATATCCTTATATAAGAGACACGGGGGAATGATTAATGGACTTCAATGTCTGTACACTAATGCGCAAAGCATGGGAAATAAACAAGATGAGCTTGAGCTCTTGGTACAGCAAACTAAATATGACATAATAGGCATCACTGAAACCTGGTGGGATAAGTCCCACGATTGGAATGTAATAATGGAGGGATACAATCTATTTCAGAGAAACAGACCAGACAAGAATGGAGGAGGAGTGGCGTTATATGTCAGGGATGTGTATACCTGTGAAGAGATCCAAGATTTAGAACCTCAAAGCCAAAGTGAGAGCATTTGGGTCAAAATTAAGGGAGAGAAGAATAACAGTGACCTCATTGTGGGAGTTTACTATAGATCCCCAAGCCAAACGGAGGACATAGATGATGCCTTCCTGGAACAGATGGCCAAGCATGCAAAAGGAAGGGAGATAGTAGTAATGGGGGACTTCAATTACCCGGATATTTGTTGGATGTCAAACTCAGCCAAGAGCATAAGGTCAAACAGATTCCTCACTGGCCTTGCAGACAACTTCATTGTCCAGAAAGTGGGAGAAGCAACAAGAGGAACAGCCATTTTAGATCTGGTCCTAACCAATGTTGATGACCTGGTTAGTGGGGTAGAAGTGGAAGGATCATTAGGCGCGAGTGATCATGCTCTTCTGAAGTTTACTATACAGCGGAAAGGAGCAGCCAAGCATACTAGGACTCAGTTTCTTGACTTTAAGAAAGCCGACTTCATAAAACTTAGGGAAGTGCTGGGTGAGATCCCATGGACTAAAAGGAAAGGGAGTTCATGATGGCTGGGAGTTTGTTAAGAGGGAGATAGTAAAAGCACAACTTCAGGCAATACCAATGAGACGGAAACATGGAAGGTGCCTAAAGAAGCCAGGGTGGCTATCTAAAGAACTTTTAACTGAGTTAAGATTTAAAAAGGATGTGTACAAAATATGGAAAAGGGGGGAAACCACCAAAGAGGAATTCAAACAAATAGCCAGCACGTGTAGTCACAAAGTCAGAAAAGCTAAAGCACAGAATGAACTCAGGCTTGCTAGAGAGGTTAAAAGCAACAAAAAAGGCTTTTATGGGTATGTTCGTAGCAAAAGGAAGAACAAAGAAACAGTGGGGTCACTCAGAGGAGAAGATGGTGAAATGCAAACAGGGGACACAGAAAGGGCTGAACTCCTCAATGCCTTCTTTGCCTCAGTCTTTTCCGATAAAGAAAACAATGCCCAACCTGAAGAATTTGGAGCAAATGATTCAGCAGAGGAAACACAGCCCAGAATAACTAAGGAGATAGTACAAGAATACTTGGCTAGTTTAGATGTATTCAAGTCTCCAGGGCCAGATGAACTGCATTCAAGAGTATTAAAAGAACTGGCAGATGTGATCTCAGAACCACTGGCAGTCATCTTTGAGAATTCCTGGAGAACAGGCGAAGTCCCGGCAGACTGGAGGAGGGCAAATGTTGTCCCTATTTTCAAGAAGGGGAAAAGAGAGGACCCAAATAATTACCGCCCAGTCAGTCTGACATCAATACCAGGGAAGATTCTGGAGCCGATCATTAAGCAAACAGTCTGTGAGCACCTAGAAAGGAATGCTGTGATCACCAATAGTCAGCATGGATTTCTGAAAAATAAGTCATGCCAGACTAACCTGATCTCGTTTTTTGACAGAATTACAAGCCTGGTAGATGAAGGGAACGCAGTGGATGTAGCCTACCTTGATTTCAGCAAGGCATTTGACAAGGTACCCCGTGATATTCTTGTAAAGAAGCTGGTAAAATGCGGTCTTGACTATGCTACCACTCAGTGGATTTGTAACTGGCTGACTGACCGAACCCAAAGGGTGCTCATCAATGGTTCCTCTTCATCCTGGAGAAGAGTGACTAGTGGGGTGCCACAGGGTTCTGTCTTGGGCCTGGTCTTATTCAACATCTTTATCAACGACTTGGATGATGGACTCAAGGGCATCCTGATCAAATTTGCAGATGACACCAAACTGGGAGGGGTGGCTAACACCCAGAGGACAGGATCACACTTCAAAACGACCTTGACAGATTAGAGAACTGGGCCAAAACACACAAGATGAATTTTAACAGGGAGAAATGTAAAGTATTGCACTTGGGCAAAAAAAAGAGAGAGGCACAAATACAAGATGGGTGACACCTGGCTTGAGAGCAGTACATGTGAAAAGGATCTAGGAGTCTTGGTTGACCACAAACTT